TTGATTGAGGCAGAGGTTTCAGTGAGCCGAGATCACACAACTGCACTCCATTCTAGGCAACAGATCAAAACTCTGTCTCAAAAAAAAAGAGATCTTACTGTTTCTGCTTTTAATTGTTCTAGTTATTTTTCTGTCTAATCTGAATCTAGGTGAGTTGTTATATAGAAAGTCATGTATTTATTTTTATATAGGGTTACCATTATAGAAAAAAGTAAAAGTTTTACTGCTACTCTTTTTAACTTTTTGAATTTGTTAATCAGGTTGTTGCCATTTTGATCACCATCCTTAGTAGTCATTGCTAAAGTACCTTTATTTAGAATCAATGAGCTTCAAAAGGAGATCATCAGTCCTTCCTGACTTTTTCAGCTTAGGTTCAGAGTTATCCACTAATACTGTTGAATTCTAGGGATATAAGTTTGTGAACAAAATATGTAAAACTACTACACTCCTTCTATTATGTTACCTTTTTGTGTAAATAGTATTATCTTATTTTTTCAAGGGTCATACTTCCTTCTTCTAAACAGCTTAAACATAGAAACAAAATCTTTTGAGGTGTCTCAAAATAGATACAGTTTACATTGGAAAGGCCTCTTTCCCAGTCTACTTACTCTATACTTTATCAAAGTCTAAAATGTTTTAGCCTTGTGTTTTTCTTTCCGAAGTTTTCTTTTTAAAAGTTATTTTATTTCTGAGTGTCCTCCATAACAACCAAGTTAACTTGTTTAGACTGAAGCATTCAGTTTGAAAGGCAGCAGGTAAACTGACAGCCTGAAGGTGACAGACTGAAGGAGGAGATAGGAAAAAATAATAAAAATGAGTAAAAAAGGAAAACATACAGCATTTTGGAGATATTCTTTTCAGTCAATCCTGAAGACATTAACTCAGTGATCAAGAAAAATATTTTTCAGTCATACTAATTAGAAATACAGACATGAGGCTGGGCACGGTGACTCACACCTGTAATTCCAGCATCTTGGGAGGCCAAGGTGGGCAAGTCACAAGGTCAGGAGTTCAAGACCAGCCTGGCCAATATGGTGAAACCCCGCCTCTACTAAAAATAGAAAAATTAGCCAGGTGTGGTGGTAGGCGCCTGTAGTCCCAGTTACTGGGGAGGCTGAGGCAGTAGAATCGCGTCAGCCCAGGAGGCGGGGGTTGCAGTGAGCTGAGATTGCCACACTGCACTGCAGCCTGGGTGACAGAGTAAGACCCTGTTTGGAAAAAAAAAAAAAGAAGTACAGACATGAAAATACATTGGAAATATTTACTTTGAGTTTTGATATATGTCTAACATCGTATCACTTTTGCGTATTAAATTTGTCTCATTGTAGAAAACTATTTTGTTCTCGTTGTTACCGTGAAAAGAAAAAAAACAATGCTGATACTTACAGCTGAAGATAGCAAGTGTCAATAGGCTAGACTACCTTAATTCTAGGGCTGAGGATTTTATGTACATATATGTATTTAAAATTGACACATATGTTTTTATATTTAAGACTTCATTTTTTTTTTAACAGCAGTTTTAGACTGACAGCAAAATTGAGAGGAAGGGACAGAAGTAGCTCATGTAGCCCTGGCCCCCACAAATGCAAGAAAATTTTTTAAAAATTTGTCAGTAGCTTTATTTTGGCTTTTTAAAAAGATGTAATTTTCATAGCATAAAATTCACCCTTTTATACAGTTCAGTGTCAGTATATTTGTAAATCCTGATAACTTTTTTTAAAAAAAAGTTATTGTGCATATTTAAGGTATATAATATGATGTTATGGGATACCTATAGATGGTAAAAAGGTTGCTACAAATTAGCATATCCATTATCTTACATAGTTTTTTTTGTTTGTTTCTGTGGCAAGAGCAGCTACAATTTACTCATTTAGCATGAATACCGTATACAGTACAATTTTATTGCCTATTGTCCTCACGTGGTACCTTAGATCTCTAGACTTGTTCATCTTACATATCTGCTACCTTCTATCCTCTGACCCATCTCTCTCCATTTCCTCCCACCCTACCCCTATTAACCACTGTTTTTAAGTTCTTTATCTCTGATTTCACTTACAAGTGATGTCATAAACTGTTTCTCTTTCTGTGTCTGGCTTATCACATAGCACAGTGTCCTCCAGGGTCATTCATGTTGTGGCAAATGGCAGGATCTCATTTTTAAAGACTGAATAATCCTCCATCATAGATATGTACCACAATTTCTTTAACCATTCGTCAATGAGTACTTAAAGTTGTTTCCATATCTGGCTATTGCGAATAATGCTGCAGTGAACATGGGAGTAAAGATACCTTTACCAGGCGGTGACTTCATTTCCTTTGGCTATATGCCAAGAGGGATTGCTAGCCCGTATGGTAGTTCTATTTTTAATTTGTTTATAAATCTCCATACTGTTTTCCACAGTGACTGTCTAGTCTACATCTGCACCAGCAGTATACAAGAATTCCCTTTTCCAACACCTTTGTTAACCTTTGCTATTTTTTTTACTTTTTCATCATAGCCATTCTAACAGGTGTGTGTTGGTACCTCATAGTGGTTCTGATTTGCATTTCTCTGGTGATTAAAGGCTAATACACTTTTTTTTTTGAGACAGACTTACGCTCTTGTTACCCAGGCTGGAGTGCAATGGCGTGATCTCGGCTCACCGCAACCTCCGCCTCCTGGGTTCAGGCAATTCTCCTGCCTCAGTCTCTGGAGTAGCTGGGATTACAGGCACGTGCCACTATGCCAGCTAATCTTTTGTATTTTTTTAATTAGAGATGGGGTTTCACCATGTTGACCAGGATGGTGTCAATCTCTTGACCTTGTGATCCAACCGCCTCGGCCTCCCAAAGTGCTGGGATTACATGTTTGAGCCACCGCGCCGGGCCGCCTAATACACTTTTAAGGAAACATTTTTTCTTTTTTTTTTTTATTCTTTTACATTTTTTCTTAAGTATTTTTTTCTTAGCTGTTTGTAAGTCTTTACTTTTGCCCATGTGATGACTACTTCCTATCTTCCTCTTGCATTCTTTTTTTTTTTTTTTTTTTTTTTTTTTTTTTTTAAGACGGCATCTTGTTCTGTCACCAGGATGGAGTGCAGTGGCGCAGTCTTGGCTCACTGCAACCTCCGGCTCCTGGGTTCAAGCAATTCGTCTGCCTCAGCCTCCTGAGTAGCTGGGACTACAAGTGCAGGACACCACATCCGGCTAGTTTTTTGTATTTAGTAGAGACGGGTTTTACCATGTTGGCTAGGATGGTCTCCATCTCCTGACCTCATGAACCACCCGCCTTGACCTCCCAAAGTGCTGGAATTACAGGCATGAACCACCACTCCTGGCCCTCTTGCATTGTTTAAAATTTTTATTCTCGGCCGGGCGCAGTGGCTCACGCCTGTAATCCCAGCAAGGAGGCCGAGGCGGGTGGATCAAGAGGTCAGGAGATCAAGACCATCCTGGTTAACATGGTGAAAACCCATCTCTACTAAAAATACAGAAAATTAGCTGGGCATGGTGGTGCGTGCCTGTAATCCCAGCTACTCAGAAGGCTGAGGCAGGAGAATTACCTGAACCCAGGAGGCAGAGGTTGTGGTGAGCTGAGATCGCGCCATTGCACTCCAGCCTGGGTAACGAGGGGAAACTCCATCTCAAAAATAAATAAATAAATTTATTTATTCTCTTTGATTCTGGTCTAATGTCATATCTCTTTTGGGAAGATATTCCTGATTCCTCATACATTAGTTTCCTTCTCTGCTCTGGGCTCCCACAGTTGTTTGTTTATTCCATTACTACGTTGCTTATCACATTTATATTGTAATTGTCTCTTTTTTTGTTGTTGTTGGAGACAGAGTATGGTTCTGTTGCCCAGGCTGGAGTGCAGTGGCACAGTCTGAGCTTACTCCAGCGTCTTGCCTCCCAGGTTCAAGTGATTCTCGTGTCTCAGCCTCCCAAGTAGCTGGGATTACAAGTGTGCGCCAACACTCCCGGCTCATTTTTGTATTTTTAGTAGAGACTGAGTTTCACCTTGTTGGCCAAGCTGATCTCAAACTCCTGGCCTTAAGTGATCCTCCTGTTTCAGCTTCCCAAAGTGCTGGTATTACAGACATGAGCCACCGAGCCCAACCATGTATCTCTTTGTCTTCCCTTTCAGACCATTTATCTGAAACAAGATCTTGTTTCAGTCTCTGTCCTAGGACTGTTCTTGCTTTTTACTATCCTTAGGACCTAGAACATGCCTGGTATGGAAGGCTTTTTGGTACATAGTTTTTGAATGATTATAGCCACAGATAGTTACTGCTGTCTTTAAGCCTTAAGCATAAACCGAGAGCTTGGTATACTATATTGAGTGGTGAATATTAAAATAATTTGCTTTTTGTAAGCTGGGAATCATACCATTTTTGTGTTAGAAGGTACCTGAAGTATTATCTAGTCCAGTCTTTCCCCATTTAACACACACACACACGCACACACGCATATTTATATATACTCTCACATGTTCACATGAAGCAAATTGAAATCCATAAAGGTTGGGTGACAGTAGTGAAGTTAGAACTAAAAATTCATATTTCCTCATTTTTTTCCTGTACCATTCTGTTTTCTCTGACACCTTATAGTCTATTCTGAGGATTTACAGTGTAAATTCATTAATTTCCTAAAGTTTAAGGGGGGAAAAAAAAACTCTGAAAATGTTAGTTTAATTTGTATTGTTATCCTTTTAACTATAAGTAAGGCACCATTGCCAACCAGAATACAGGTTAAGTATCCAAATCTGAAAATCTAAAATTCTAAATGCCCTAAATATAAAACTTTTTGAGCATTAATGTGAAGGTCAAAGGGAATGCTCCCTGGAACATTTCAGGTACCAGATTTTCAGATTTGGGATGCCGAACTAATAAGTATTTTAAAAATCTGAAATCCAAAACACTTCTGGTCCCACATGTTTTAGATAAGGGACACTCAACTTTACTGGAAAAGAAATTTTAAATTTAATGTTTAAAAAGTGACAATGTATTTCTATTTTATAGACCTCCGTGAGTGAAAGCCTTCAGAGGGAAGCTGCTAAGAAGCAGGCCATGAAACAGGTAAGGTAGAAGACTGGGCTAAGTGCACTGAGTGAAGCATTTTGACTCATTTTTAAGTATCAGTTTTGGTATCTAAGTGCTGAGACTAAAACAGTAGGTTTAAGGAAAAACACAGTGAAGAATTAGCTTCTCATTGCTGTGCTATAGAATAAACTAGTTCTATTTACAGATTAGTCTAATAATGGATTGTTTAACTTGTTATTTATTATTAAATTGTTGCTAGTGAGCTTACTTGGAAAAAAAAACCTTTTCACAACCAAGGTGATTTCACAAACTTATAATTATTTGAAATTCATCTACCAAGAAAGAGGAATATCAGATAATTTTATTTTTTTATATTTATTTTTTGAGACAGAGACTGGCTCTCTTTCCCAGGCTGGAGTGCAGTGGCGCACGCTTGGCTCACTGTAATCTCCGCCTCCCTGGTTCAAACAATTCTCCTGTCTCCGCCTCCCTAGTAGCTGGGACTACAGGCACACACCACTATACCCCACTAATTTTTGCATTTTTAGTAGAGATGGGTTTTCTCCATATTAGCCAGGCTGGTCTCAAACTCCTGACTTTGGGTGAACTGCCCACCTAAGCCTCCCAAAGTGCTGGGATTACAGGCATGAGCCACTGCACCTAGCCTGATAATTTTAATAGACGTGCTAGTACCTTAGTGTTTCCAAGTACTTTTTACATACATTTGTCTTTTACAGTTCTCATAAATTTGCCCATAGTCCTAATTAAGAAATCTGAAACTCAAAAAGGCTAAAGTGCTCCTTATGATAATACTACCAATTATAGAAGTAGGCCTGAAGGTTTACTAATTGTTCTGCTTCTCCACTAGTGTATCTTAGATTTTCTGCTGTAGAATGTAATGAAATTAAACAATAACAAGGTGCTTTTCTTTTTCATTTTAAATTCTTCACATTAGCTTTACCATTTTTGGTCCTATTTCCTTTATGTCTAACTGGAAACCTGCATAAAGATAAGTTTATTAAGCACTTTCTGTGTGCCAGGCATTATGACAATTACGTTTTAAGAATGATTTTTAATTTTTACAATAATTCTATGAGATATATGCTTTTATAATTCTTATTTAATAGTTAAGGAAATGAAGGCAAGAATTTATGTGACTTTCATGAGATCACATGGTTAATAAATGGTAGGGTTATGTTCAAAACTAGACAGTGAAATCTCAGAGTCTAAGCTTTTAACCACTGTGTTTTACTCCTTCCCTGAGGAATTGTCACAGAAGTATATAGTCATTTTAAGATAATGTCATAGTTTCACAGTGAAATGCAATGTATAACTCAGCAGCCTCAGAATGATTTAATATACATTTAATATACAGAACATGAAAAAAGTGATTATTTAACGTAAATACTGGAGTGCTTTGAATCAGAATTTTGAAAAGACGATCAAGTTCAGCTTCATCACCTTATAAATGGGAGACTTAGTTCTGTAGAGTTAGGTGACTTTTTTCCAAGGTAATACAGGTATCTTGTTTTCCAGGGTTAATTTAATATTTTTGTGCTGCCTTTTCTTCTTCATTTAACGCATGAATCCCAAATCTACTTTTATTTTTAACTCTATCTTGTTCAAAGCCACTTTATCTGTTTAGTAAGACTTTTTCATAGTTTGCTTGGAAATTGGAAATGCTGCTACAACTCATACCTTTCACCTGCCTTCTGCTGCTTTTTTCTTGCACCTATATTTCATACTCTTCCCTTTGTTCCCCACTTGGTTGATTCAACTCGTCAAATGCCTTCATTCATACTAATTGAAACTATTCATTTTACTATGAAGAATACTAGCTTGATTGCATTTACTAAATCTTAAAGAAAGTGCTCTTTGAAATGGGGTACTTTAAACTACTATTTTCTTCTTTTATCTGGACCTCAAGTGTACAGAAGTGACGATGGCAACATTACTGTCATATTCCCTGTTTCACTGGGAAAATTTTTAGCATGTCATCAGTAAATATAATATTTGCTGTAGGTCTCTTGTTGCTAATCTAAGGAAATTCTTTTCTTAGTTTGAGGGTTTTGTTTGTTTCAATGGTGAGCTATATACCGAAAGGATATTACTTCATGACCATGTTGATTTTATACCAGTAATGAAAGGTCAGCTTAACATTAGAAAATCAATCATTGTAACTTCACAGAAGTGGTATAAACCTAATATAAGCATAAAATGTTATCCTTCTTATACATTGTTGCATATGGCTTACTAAAGTTTTATTAGGAGTTTTTAAGTATTGAGGATTTTTACATCATAAGTGAGATTCGACAAAATAGGGTACTTTTCCTTTTCTTTCACTGTAATTATCCAGATTGAAAAAGTCTGATAATACCAAGGTTTGGCTAGCCTTATACAATGAGCTAATATAATACTATGTACATGTTGCTTTTTTCTAGTTCATTTTCTGTCCTGACAGATTCGTGTTTTCTTCATTCTATTTTCTTTGGGTTTATTTTGTTATTTTTCTAACTTTTTGAGATGGGTGCATAGCTCTCTGTTTTCTATTCTTTCTCTTTTCTGATATATGCATTTAAGGCTGTATGTTCCCCTCTAAGTACTTCTGTAGCTGGATCTTACAGATTTTGATAGGCAGTATTTTCATTGTTTGATGCAAAATGTTTTCTGATTTGCATTATGATTACTTGCTTGACCCATGTACTATTAATTTCTGAACATATGGAGGTTTTTGATTACCTTTTTGTTACTTATTCCTAACATGATAACTTTGATTTTTGGGGGGTGTTTTGTTTTTGAGTTGGAGTCTCACTCTGTCACCTAGGCTGGAATACAGCACGATCTCGGCTCACTGTGACCTCTGCCTCCTGAGTTTAAGCAGTTCTTCTGCCTCAGCCTCCTGATAGCTGTGTTTACAGGAGTACACCACCATGCCCAGCTAATTTTAATATTTTTAATCGAGACAGGGTTTGACTATGTTGGCCAGGCTAGTCTCAAACTTCTGACCTCAGATGATCCGCCTGCCTCAGCCTCCCAAAGTGCTGGAAATACAGATGTGAGCCACCATACTTGGCCCCTAACATGGTTACTTTGGATACCAAAACATTGCGCTGTATTGTTTCATGCCTTTAAAAGATGTAGAGGTTTACTTTATGGTCCAGTTTACAGTCAGTTTTTATAAATATTTTCTCTGTGTTTGAAAATGTTCGGTATTGATATAAAAATTAGCCCGGCATGGTGGTGCGCACCTGTAGTAACAGCTTAAACAGTTTAAAACAGCCCTTAGTCTCCCTTTTCCCTTGCTTTTTGTTATTGTAGTGGTGATTATTTCTTAGATTCCATGTTTCCCTCTTTGTGTCATCCAGGCTGGTTTTGGGGAGGGAGCAGGAGTGCCAATTCATAATATCTGCGCAGGAGAATCTTTTTCTAAAGGTGGAGAAGCGAAAATAATGAATTTCTTAATATCAATATTCTAGAAAAAGAAGTTTTTCAGTTAGCATGTGCATCATTCAGAGTTTAAATGTTGGTATGTAAAAACCCAAGTCTATCAGATAGATTCTTTTGAATAATTTTGGATCACTTAAAAAGGATCCCTCTTGGGTTCTGTGTTAGACAATGTAGCAATTCAGAAAGAAGTTAAAGTGTGTAGACTCTGTACCTCAGGAATTTACAAACTGGGGCAAGAGGCTAAGATTTGCAAAACAATTAGAAAGTAAAAACATCCATGCTTGGCATGGTGGCTCAGGCATGTCATCCCAGCATTTTGGAAGGCTGAGGTGGGAGGATCATTTGAGCCCAGGAGTTCAAGACCAGCCTCAGCAACATGGTGAAACTCTGTCTCTACAAAACATAAAAATTAGCCAGGCATGGTGGCATATGCCTGTAGTCCCGGCTACTTGGGCAGCTGAAATGGGAGGATCGCTTGAAGCCTGGGAGGCAGAGGTTGCAGTGAGCCAAGATCATGTCGTGCACTCCTGCCTGGCGACAGAGCGAGACTCCATCTGTTTAAAAAAAAAAAAAAAAAAAGTCTAGTGTATTAATTAAGGGTTCAATTTTGCAGAATAGAATGTTCCTCAGAGTTTAGAAGAAAGATCATTGGGGATTAGAGGCCTCAGAAATGGGCTCATACGAGAAGTAGGGCTGGCCCTGAAACACTGGATAAGATTTTGATAGCTTGAAAGAGGAAGAAAAAACATCATTTAAGATAGAAGGAACATACATGATAAAGTCAGAGAGTTTATATAAGTCTGACAACTCTAAAAATGATACTGAAAGCTTAATACATAATACAGGCCTTTTAAAACCAGGGTTAGGTGTGTCTGTGGTACCTTGGACCTTTTGACCTTTTGATGTTGATATTTATATACAAATGAATCGATTATAATAATAGTTGATGTTTATTGAATACTTATTCTCTATCAGTGTCTATTCTACGTATTGTAAGTTTAATCATTTAATTATAATAGCTTAGAATATAAATAAAATCATTATTCTTTCTCTTCTAGATGAGGAAAATTAAGGGACAAAAAGATTATAAACAAACTTGTCCAGACTAATTAGTAAGTGTAGAGCTAGGATTCACACCCAGCTGCTTGGCTCCATAATTTACATTCCTATTTCCTATCTAAAATATGATTGTAATTTTTGTGATATATTTTTAATTTTTAACCATTCTCAAAAAACATAGACTTTGTGGTATCTATTGACTAGCTCATATTTTTGAAACATATTTAATTTTTTTTTTAAAGACCAAACTGGAAATCCAGAAGGCCCTTGCAGAAGATTCTACTGTATATGAATATGACAGTATTTATGATGAAATGCAGAAACAAAAGGAAGAAAATAATCCCAAATTGCTTTTGGGGAAAGACCGAAAGGTTTGTAAGCTGAAATAACAAACTTTCTTTGACTTTGACCTACATTTTGTGTCTTAATCTTATTTTAACATGAGAATGATCTGAGAAAAAGCTTTTAGATACGTGAAGTGTGAAGACTACCTAGTTCCAGATATTATAGATTTGATCTTAGGACTCAAGAAGCACTATATATATTATGCTAATAGGCCAAGTGAATTATCTAACAGTTTTGTTTTTTGCTTTGAAACCTTTGCAAATAGTTTTTTGAAAATTTTTTCTTAGAAATTCTGATGTACCAAATTTGTACTGCTCCTGCCCTGTGTATGTTTATTTGTGTTTTATTATCCTCTCATTTTTTATTTCTTCCTAACTGGTAACTGAATCATCTGCCTACACCTATCATGATTTTATTTTCAGTGAGAAAAAAATTTGGGAGTGGAAAAAATTGAAATAAGTTCAGATTTTCTTTCTATTACCTCTTGTTCTTTCACAAGCACAGGCTGATTTTTAAGGGTATTTGCATCTGACAGTTATCTATCAGTAGAGTGATGATACAAAATTACATTAAAGCTACTATTTTAAATCATATTTCTTTTTTTTTCTTTTTTTCCGAGACGGAATTTTGCTATTGTTACCCAGACTGGAGTGCAATGGCGCAATCTCGGCCCAACGCAACCTCCGCCTCCTGGGTTCAAGCAATTCTCCTGCCTCAGCGCCCGAGTAGCTGGGACTACAGGTGCGCACCACCATGCCCAGCTAATTTTTGTATTTTTAGTAGAGATGGGGTTTCACCTTGTTGACCAGGATGGTCTCGATCTCTTGAACTCATGATCCACCCGCCTCCTCCCAAAGTGCTGGGATTATAGGCATGAGCCACCGCGCCTGGCCTTTAAATCATATTTCTACTAAATGTGAAAAACTAATAGGAACTTTTCTGATTTTTTTAAATTAAGAGAATACCAGAAAAAAGAATGAGAAAAAAATTATATTTAGTTTAATTTTTTTAAAAGTTAAATTGCATTATAAATAATTACTTCTCTGCTACACCTAAATTTTAATTGAAAACAGTTTCAATATTAATTTTGCTAGTAAGTTTATAATGTAGGGAAGACAATCTTATTTGGGCTGATCATCTCTTAATGAATTCATTATAAAATTATAACAGTAATAACAATTACAATTTTTTTTTACTCTTTTCCTAAATCTTTTTTATTTCCTTAGCCCAAGTATATTCACAACTTGCTAAAAGCAGTTGAGATCAGAAAAAAGGAACAGGAAAAAAGAATGGAGAAGAAAATACAGAGAGAACGAGAAATGGAAAAGGGAGAGTTTGATGATAAAGAGGCATTTGTGACATCTGCATATAAGAAAAAACTGCAAGAGAGAGCTGAAGAAGAAGAAAGAGAAAAAAGGGCTGCTGCACTGGAAGGTAAAATGAAAGAGGGGGAAAGGCACAAGGAGACAGTCATGAAATCTCTACCCTGTGGTTAGCTGTTTACTCTGTCGCTGAACTTTTGGGTTATAAGTTTGCGATCATAATTTATATATAGGAATCCAAGACTCAAAATATATGGTATTATATAGTAGTATAAAACAGAGAGGGACGTTTAACTAAAAACACAGTTGAACTCTTCAGTAACTATTAATTCTACTAGACTTTTCCCTTAGTTCTCATTTTGTGGCTTTTGCCTTACAACATGATTTGAAATGTAAAAACATTTATTACAAAATATAACACCATAACATTTGTCAGAAACAATATAAATATAATTTTAAACCCTAGTTCATATTTTTCTGGGATGAGAAAACAATAGAGTAACACCACTCGAGCATCAACAGGACAATTAGAAAAAGAATAATATTAACTGAAGAAAGAATAAAAATGGGATGAATTAAGAATATCTTAATGCATTAGTGCTCATGATTATTTATCAAGATCTAAGTAGAATATGTATTTATAAAATACTTTTTTTTTTTTTTTTTTTTTTTTTTTTTTTTTTTGAGACTGGGTCTTTGTCACGCAGGCTGGAGTGCAGTGGCTCAGCTATGACTCACTGTGGCCTTGACCTCCCAGGCTCTAATGATCCTCCCACCTCAGCCTCTTGAGTAGCTGGGACTACAGGAACATACCAGCATGCCCGGTTAAGTCTTGTATTTTTTGTAGAGATGGGGTCTCAGTATGTTGTCAGGACTGGTCTTGAACTCTGGGCTCAAGCAGTCCTCCTGCCTCAGCCTCCCAAAGTGCTTTGGGAGTGCTCAGCATTCTAGGTGTGAGCCACCATGTTCTACAAATACTTTGACAAACTCTCAGCTTTTTTTTGAGACAGAGTCTTACTCTGTCGCCCAGGCTGGAGTGCAGTTGTGCGATCATGGCTCACTGCAACTTCTGCCTCCCAGGTTCAAGTGATTCTAATGCCTCAGCCTCCCAAGTAGGTGGGATTACAGGTGTGTACTACCACCACTGGATAATTTTTATATTTTTAGTAGAGGTGGAGTTTTACCTTGTTGGGTAGGTTGGTCTCCAACTCCTGACCTCAGGTGATCCGCCCACCTCAGCCTCCCAAAATTCTGGGATTATAGGCATGAGCCACTGTGCCCCTGGTCTCTTCAGTTTTTAAGTAGAAGAAAACCAAGTCTGTAACATTCTGTCTAAGCATATACTGTGTTTAGAGTGCCAGTCGGAAAACTTTCTGTAAGGAACCAGATAGTATTTTAGTATTCATATTTTAAGACTTTATAAATTTGTATTTATAAATGCCAGATATTATTTATACTTCAGGGCTTTTTTTGGGAGTCTTGCTGTTATTGCCCAGGCTAGAGTGCAGTGGTGCCATCTCAATTCACTGCAACCTCCGCCTCCCGGGTTCAAGCATTCTCCTACCTCAGCCTCCCTAGTAGCTGGGATTACAGGCACCTGCCACCATGCCCGGCTAATTCTTGTGTTTTTAGTAGAGACGGGGTTTCACCCTGATGGCCAGGGTGGTCTTGAACTCCTGACCTCAGGTTATCCAACTGCCTCGACCTCCCAAAGTGCTGGGACTACAGGCTTGAGCCATGGCACCTGGCCAGGGCTTTTTGTATATATGATCTCTGTCACAGTTACTCAGCTGTGCCTTTGTAGTACAAAAGCAGCTTTGGACAATGCATAAACAAATGAACAAGGCTTTGTTTCAATAAAAATTTACTTATAAAAACAGGCAACAGGCCAAATTTGGCCTTTAGGATATAGTTTGCCAATTCCTGATGCAGAGAATAGTTTATACACTGCATGTTATATACTCTGCATCTATAAAAAGAAACTGTGCTATGGCTTGATAAATATATTCTAATTTTTACTTTCTCTCTCTTAGCATGTTTAGATGTAACTAAGCAGAAAGATCTCAGTGGATTTTATAGGCACCTATTAAATCAAGCAGTTGGTGAAGAGGAAATACCTAAATGCAGCTTTCGTGAAGCCAGGTGAGGAGATGTGGTATATGAAATATTTTGAAGAAAGATATTGTTAATAATCTGTTTGTGGGGTCATTTTAATCCTCTGAAAGATGGAAGATTACAGCATTGCATATTGTGTTGTCAGCCAGCATTACCTAATTAAATGAATGGCTAGAAATTTGCAGTTTCTTGATTTTAAAACCTACAGATTTAGTTTAAGACCATTTTTATTCTGCAGTTCTCAGAAATTGTTACATTGAAACACAGTGATTGAGTTTAATATTATTTGTAAAACCAAAGACAGACTTTTAATGTATGAAGTTTCTGGATTTTTAAGTGACTTAGGGGTCTTCTCAAGGGAGAGCACAATCTTCAAGGGAGAGCAAAATCAAAATGTGTTTTTTTCTGAGACAGAGTCTTACTCTGTTGCCTGGTGGATGAATGAGTATAGTGGTTCAATCATAGCTCACTGCAACCTTTACCTCATGGGCTCAAGTGATCGTCCCACTCCAGCCTCCCAAGTAGCTGGGGCTACAAGCACATGCCACCACATCTAGCCAATTTTCTTTTTGTAATTTTTTTTTTTTTTTTTGGTGAGATGGAGCCTCGCTCTGTTGCCCAGGCTGGAGTGCAATGGAGCGATTTTGCTCACTGCAATCTCTGCCTACCAGGTTCAAGCGATTCTCCTATCTCAGCCTTCTGAGTAACTGGGACTACAGCCACATGCCACTACACCCAGCTAATATTTGCATTTTTAGTAGAGATGGGGTTTTACCATGTTGGCCAGACTGATGAATTCCTGACCTCAGGTGATCCGCCCACCTCTGCCTCCCATAGTGCTGGGATTACAGACCTGAGCTACCTCGCCCAGCCTCTTTTTGTATTTTTGTTGTAGAGATGGGGTTTCATGTTGCCCAGGCTGGTCTCGAACTCCTGGTTTTGAGTGATCCACTCAGCCTCCCAAAGTGCTGGGATTACAGGTATGAGCCCCTGCACCTAGCCACCTTTTTTTTTTAAACTAAAAATGTAGGTATTCCTCATGGTCCTTAAAACGATGGTGCCTAGTACCTTAAAATGATTGCTAGCAGAATTAAGAAATTTGGAAAGAATTAGGTGTCTACAATATAAATCTTATATGCATGTTCAGATAGTATATAAAAAGGAAAGTGGTTTATTTTCCATAAATAGGACACAGCCTTCATAAAATGTAAGACTTTACATATCAAGGGCTAGAACTGCACTGTTCAATATGTAGCCACTAGTCATGTGTAGCTACTTAAATTAGTTTAAAGTAAATAAGATAGAAAATTTTGATCACAGTGGCCACATTTCAAATACTCAGTTGCCATATTTGGCTTGTGGTTGCCATACTGGACATCTCAGATATAAACATTACTATTTCTTGAGGCATTTCTATTAGTGCTGGTCTAGAAGGTAAATGATTAGAGATAACTTTATTTTTGAATAAAGTTATAAGGTATTATAGGAATGGTGAGATGAGTATGTCATAAGTATGTAGCTGAAGGTAAAAGAGTCTTGTCCTAAGCAAAAAAAAATTTAACAAATGTTCTGAGTAGATCTGGGTCTGTGTTGCTAAGGAAGGGAAGAGGTAGGAGAATAGAATTAAGGTGAAGAGAGGAAGTTAAATTTATGCCCCACTCCCTCCCTACACTGCTACGTTTTGATTACAAAATTGGTGAGAAGTTTGAACCTAAGAAACTGTATTTGAAGATTCAGGTTTTGAATGGAAACTATAATACATTATGGCTTTGTGTTTGAGTTTCATCTGGAATGTTTATGAGGCTACCATGAAACTCTGTAATGTTGTTGATGTAGTTGTACTTCTCAGAGTCGAATAATCGAAATCCTAACTGTTAGTATGTCCTTTAGCCAAGATAGTTCTGCTAGTAATTCCTGGAGAACCGAAGTTGTTGTGCTGTTAGTGTGATTAGTAAGAATCACTGAATGATTCTTATTTACATTATAGTCACTGTGTTAGTAGTATAAATAAAGTTAACTGTACTTGCCAGATGGAACCATGTAGGTAATATAATTTTAGTGTTATTGCTTCTAATGGACAAATTAATATATTTTAATTTTGTTGTGATAGGTGCCAAGGAGTGTATCAGGATACTAGTGCTTTTTCATCATGAGAGAGAGTAAATATTTAGGATTATACTTGCCACTATTTTGCTGTGCATAGATTACCTTCATGTATTTCTAGGACTATTTTTATAATTTTTTTTTTTAAATAAAGAGGCTGGGTGTGGGCTCAGTCCTGTAATCCCAGCACTTTGGGAGGCTGAGTTGGGTGGATCACCTGAGGTCAAGAGTTTGAGACCAGCCTGGCCAACATGGCAAAATCCAGTCTCTACTAAAAATACAAAAGTTAGCCAGGTGTAGTAGTACAGGCCTATGCCTATAATCCCAGCTACTCAGGAGGTTAAGGTGGGAGGATTACTTGAGCCTGGGAGGCAAAGGTTGCAGTGAACCGAGATTGTGCCGCTACACTCCAGCCTGGGTGACGGAGTGAGACCCTGTATCTAAATAAATAAATAAGAAAGGAAACGAAAATCCAAGAGTTACAACTTAACCTTCATATTGGGAAAACAGAACTTAGATCCAAAACATATCTTGCTTTTCCCAATTATTCTTTGTCTTAGGCTTACCAAAAAAGTAAAGACCTGTACAGACCTCTTGCCTGTAGGTTCTAGCAGACAAGAGCTAATTTTTTCTTTTCACTTCTACAAATATTGAAAATATTTGGAATGGTTTAAATTTGAAAATACTAGTTTGCAGAGACATCAGCACCTTTTTGTATTTGTATAATCAGATGGTATATATCACTATAGATGGATTGGTTTAAGTATTGAGAAAAATTACATGAACCCTTTATCTGCTTATTACAACTGATAATGTGGCTTTTTTCCCGCCCTTTTTGTTTTCCTTAAGATCTGGTGTAAAGAAAGAGAAATCAAGGGGTTACTCCGATGAAGTAGAAAACAGAATACCACAAGAGAAATACATTCTTCAAGCTGATGTGAAAGTAGAGGAAAACCCAGATGCAGACAGTGACTTTGTTGCTAACAGCAGCGAGGATGATGAAAAAGAAGAAACTACAGTGAATTGCAGAAGAAAAAAGGTCATTGAGACCCCTGAGAATGACTCCAAGCACCACAGGAATCAAAACGACTCTCAGTCGCCTAGTGAAGAAAGAGGGCATGGTGCCAGACACCACACAAAAGGATCACGAACATCGAGAGGACATGAGAAAAGAGAAGATCAGCACCAGCAGAAGCAATCCAGAGACCAGGAGAACCATGACACTGACCGTGATTACCGGAAAGAAAGAGATTCTCATAGGCACAGAGATGCCAGTCATAGAGATTCCCATTGGAAGAGGCATGAACAGGAAGATAAACCAAGGACGAGGGACCTAAGAGAAAGAAGTGACAGAGAATGGAAAAGGGAGAAAGACAGGGAGAGATATTCCCAAAGAGAACAAGAAATGGACAGACAGCAAAATGATCAGAACCGACACCGTGAGAAAGGAGAGAAGGAAGAGAAAACCAAAGCTAAGGAAGAACATATGAAAGGAAGGAGGGAAAGATATGAAAATAATGATAAATACAGAGATAGAGAAAAAGGAGAAGTAAGTGTTCAGTCTTCAGAAAGACATCGAGACAGAAAGGAAAGCAGCCCAAGTTCCAGGGCAAAGGATAAATTTCTTGACCAAGAAAGATCCAACAAAATGAGAAACATGGCAAAGGACAAAGAAAGAAACCAGGAGAAACTCTCTAATTCTGAACTATCACTGGGAGCAAAACACAGACTCACAGAAGAAAGGCAAGAGAAGGATAAAGAACAAGAGAGACCACCTGAGGCAGTAAGCAAGTTTGCAAAGCGGAACAACGAAGAAACTGTAATGTCAGCTAGAGACAGGTATTTAGCCAGGCAGATGGCACGGGTTAATGCAAAGACCTATATTGAGAAAGAAGATGATTGATGGCTACCCCGAGAGAAAGATTTGAGGAAACACAGAAAACTCTTAATTCCTCGAATCTGCTGTGTCAAACCATAAAGGAATGTGTTACCAGTAGTTTGGAGGGAATTTTTAAATTTATTTTCAAAAACTGTAGGTTAAAATCAAAAGTCAATCTAACATCTTGAATGTTTGGAAGTCTGGATATGGATGTTTGGCTAAATTTATATACAGTATGTACTTACAATACCACATTCTTTGTTGTATTCAAGAACCATAAGTGTGCTAATTCCCTGTAGTTACATAATGAGGAAAATTGGCTCCACTACAGCCATTAAAATTAATTTTGGCCAGACGTGGTAGCTCATGACTGTAATACCAACATTTTGGGAGGCTGAGGCAGAAGGATCACTTGAGGCCAGGCATTCAAGACCAGCCTGGGCAGGATAATGACGCCTTGTCTCTATTTAAAAAACAAGCCTGGGCGGGGTATGGTGGTTCAAGCCTGTAATCCCAGCACTTTGGGAGGCCGAGGCGGGTGGATCACGAGGTCAAGAGATCGAGACCATCCTGGTCAACATGGTAAAACACCATCTCTACTAAAAATACAAAAAATCAGCTGGGCATGGTGGCGCGTGCCTGGAATCCCAGCTACTCGGGAGGCTGAGGCAGGAGAATTGCCTGAACCCAGGAGGCGGAGGTTGCGGTGAGCCGAGATTGCGCCATTGCCCTCCAGCCTGGATAACAAGAGCGAAACTCCGTCTCAAAAAAAAAAAACAAGCCTGGCATGGTGTACATGCCAGTAGTCCCAGCTGTGTTTGAGAGACTGAGGCAGGAGGATCACTTGAGCCTAAGAATTTGACGTTACAGTGAGCTATGATCATACCACTGCACTCCAACCTGGGCAACAGAGCAGGACCCTGTTTCTAAAAAAAATTTTTTTAATAAATAATTTAACTCTTTTAATAATGTTGGCTTTGTTGCAGGAGCTGTTTGTTTTATAAATATTGTATTTCGATAAAATATGCATTGGAACAATAGAAAATATACTTTTATGTTCTGAAATTTGTATTAAAGTGTAAAATGTGAATCATCTTGTCTAGGTAGCTTACAGCATAGTTGGCTTAAATGAAAATAATGATATGCTTATACATTTTATTAATGTATTTAAAAGTAATTTCACTCATGTCACAATTCATCTATTTGCTTTTAGTATAAATTAATTTGTAGTTAGTAAATTGGTTGTGCATGTAAATTACTTTTAGCTAAAGGTGAAAATGTGTAGACATTTAGCCTAAATGAAATAGCTAAAGATCCAGGTGACCTATTTCTAAACATGTCTTGTTTTATGTATTCTGAAAAAGGTAGTGCAGTTTACTACAAGTTCCACTTGTGTTTAAAAATAAAACTAGTATCTTTCTCCTGAGTCTTTGATATTCAGGAGATATAATTATATACTGTAAATATTTTATTTATGGGAAAAGGATGAATGCTGTGGAGAAAATAATTCTCTAATAGGTTTTCCCATTAAGAAAGTGCTATTTATATCTCTCACAGTACTTTATCATAAAGAGTTAGCACATTTTCTTATTTTTAGAAGGATAAACTTAGTTTAATACGATTGCTGACTAGATTAAAAACATTGTATATTAAGGGTCAGATTTCACATTCATAAATCGTTTTGTTGTACCTTTAAAACCAGAAAGGAAAAGTAACAGGAAAGTTAACGCCCAAATCTCTGACTGATACATTAAATGTCAGTTATATCAGAATACTCTAGAGTCAATCAGTCACAGTAACAGACTCCCAAAATCACTGACTTGGTGTACACAAAGGGAGCAACATCATATAAGTCTGGAAAGGTAAGTTAGGTGACATCATGGAAGGACCTTGAGTGACAGAGAAAATCTTTAACTTTGGTGGGGATATGGTTTCTTTGTTAGGATTGTTTTATAACTAGAGCCATGCATTGGGAAGATTAATTTGATCATAGTGTGCAAGGTAGTCTAGGAGGGAGAGACTGATGTCAGAGACATCTGATGATAAACTGAGTTTTCATCTCCCAGAGGGAAAAGCTCAGAATCTTTTACAAAGGAGCTTGGATCCTTAGAAAAGCTATAAATTACTTCCATTTAACCAACTTAATTTGACATAAATCAGTATGAGAGGCTGCAAATTAAGAGTTTTCTTCTGTCTCCTCCAAATAGAATGTTGATTTTGCCTCTCTGGCATTCATTCCCCCTTTTCTGGTAACAGCATCTTGATTTGCCCTTGAGAAAACACACCTTTACTACTCGTAGTAGTAGTAGTTGTTTTTTTTTAATAGTTCTTTATTCATAAACTTTATGCAAGTTTACAGAATTTACTGTAGATTGCCAAATAAAATCTGCAATTAAAAATAAAATCCATAAAACAAAGGATGCCAAATGTGCAGCCATCAATCTGCTTGCCATCAAGATATTAAAGAATTCAATAATGTATCGAAGATTTAGCCTTTTTTTTTTTTTTTACTGATTTAAAACTTTATTGTTAATTTTTAAAATGGGGAAGAAAAACTTTTTATTGGCAACCATCAAAGATATTCACAACAAGACTCAGACCCAAGGTAGAGACCCCTAAACATGATTTTCCCTCAACTCCTCAGGCTGGAACAGATTTTAAACCAAGCTGGAGAAATCACTCCAACGCTGGCCACTAACTAATCTCTACATCCTGGCCTTCATCCTGGTTGGAAGCTGGTTCACTTCATCCAAGGGCTTAGTTCGAGGGCATTCATGGCTTCCTCAAGTTTGAGCATCCCTCGCTCCTGGCGCTGGCGGTGCCACTCAGCCATAGACTGGAGCATCCACTTGGCTCGGAGCTTGTATATACAGGAGCCGTAAACCACGATCTCAGTGCAGTCTGGAGACTCCAGAGCCTTCAGCTCGAGCATAGCCTTGCTCACCTGCTCGATGTAAGGGATTCGACATCCGTCCCGGCCGAACATGGCTTCCAGCAGCCGCGTCTGGACGTGGAACACTTCTGGATCTTTCAGGTCTTCGGGAACTTTAACCCACGGCGGGATATTTCTACGTTCCGGGAGCGTTCCCATCTTATGACCCTCACAAGCAAAACCAAGCCCAGGCATGCCTGCGCCTCAGCGCTGATAAAGCCTCACACCTGGAGGCCCCGCCCCCAGCCCGGGCCAGGACCACGAGTCCGCCCCCCGCCGCCCTGGCTGCCTTTTTTTTTTTTTTTTTTTTTTTAATTTTACAAATCAGTATGAGAGGCTGCAAATTAAGAGTTTTCTTCTGTCACCTTCTCCAAATAGAATGTTGATTTTGCCTCTCTGGCATTCATTCCCCCTTTTCTGGTAACAGCATCTTGATTTGCCCTTGAGAAAACACACCTTTACTACTCGTAGTCGGCAGGTTCAAATGGGGCAGAATAGCCTACAGGAAGGATATGTCACCCAAGCTAGGCTGATGTGGTCCTATTGTCGGAATTTACAGATGTTTTCTGCTGTCATTACTGATTATGGCGGTGAGGTAAGTCTGGAGTTTCATGGGAGAGTGCCTTGCTGCCTGGCAGAAAAAGGCTCACAGAAAAGAAAGCCAAACAGAAGGAAAAAAAAAAAAAAGATTGCTTTTGCATCTCTGGCTCTAGTGTAGCTTTTTTTTTTTTTTTTTTTTTTTTTCTCTCTTTAAGGTATTTAAACCAATACTTTTCCCTTTTTCTGGTAGGCTAGTTTGAATTGGATTTCTGCCATCACAACCCAAAAAGTCCTTTCTGATAGAAGTTTCCATTTATGATAGCTGTATGCCAAAAGTTATCAGAACACTTTTAGTAAACTTTTTTATTATAACATGTAAAGTGCACATGGAGTTTACAGCATAATGGATTCACACAGTACACCTGGTTTAGAAAGACATTATCTGTGTCATAGAAGCTCCCCTTAAACATTTCCCCACCCTATTCCTTCTGACTTTTAGCACCATAGAGTAATTTTGCTTGTTTTCTATATTCTTTACTAATCCATTCTTTGCTACCATCTATTAATGGACATTGGGCTATTTCTTTTTGGGGTTATGAATAGTAATATCTTCTAGGTAATAATGTATATTCTAGGTACATTCATGTATGTTTTGGTGGGGTAATTCCTAGGAATGGAGTTGCTGATTCATAGTCTGTGCACATGTTCAGCTTTACTAGTTAACTACCAATCGGTTTTCCAAAATACTGGAACTAAAATACACTCCTTTCATCAACGTATGAGAGCTCGGTTGCCCCGCATCTTAAACTTGGTATTTGTCTTTTAGCTACTCTGGTGGGTGTTGTAACTCATGGTTGTATTTTGTGGTTCTCTGATGGCTATTAACATTTGGGTATCTTGGCAGGGGGGGTTGTTTTTGAGACAGGGTCTTCCTCTGTCACCCAGGCTAGAGTGCAGTGATGGCTCAGTGCAGCCTTGACCTCCCAGGCTAAAGCCATCCTCCCACCTCAGACTCCCAAGTAGCTGGGACTACAGCTGCATGCCACGATGCCTGGATAATTGTTTTGCAATTTTTGTAGAGATGGGATTTTGCTATGTTGTCTAGGTTGGTTTCGAACTTCTAGGCTCAAGTGATTCGCCTGCCTCGGATTTTCAAAGCGCTAGGATTACAGGCATGAACTGTGTGACCAGTGTGTTTATCCTGTTTTCAATGATCTGATTCTTTAGTGTCTCTGCTCCCTCCTTTTTTTTTTTGTTTGTTTGTTTGTTTTGTTTGTTTGGTGGAGGGGAACTATCTGCCTTTTTCTTAATCTGGTACAAGTTTTGTTTGTTTGTTTTGAGAGTTTCACTCTTGTTGCCCAGGCTGGAGTGCAATGGCACAATCTCAACTCACTGCAACCCCTGCCTCCCAGGTTCAAGCAATTCTCCTGCCTCAGCCTCCCGAGTAGCTGGGATTACTGGCATGCGGCTCCACGCCTGGCTGATTTTGTATTTTTAATAGACACGAGGTTTCTCCGTGTTGGTCAGGCTAGTTTCAAACTCCCAATCTCAAGTAATCCGCCTGCCTTGGCTTCCCAGAGTGCTGGGATTACAGGCATGAGCCACCTCACCCGGCCCCAGTACAGGTTCTTCATATATTCTAGATATGAGTTGTCTTTGTCAGGAACTTCTCCCTCCCCTCTGTGGCTTTACCTTTTCACTCTCTTAATGGAATTTTTAATGAACAGATATCTCTAATTTTACAAAGTTAATTAAAATTAATAAAATTTAAAAATAGTTCCTCAGTTGCATTAGACATTTCAAATGTTCAACATGTGGCTAGTAGCTAGCTGCCACATAGGACAGTGCAGGTTTACAGAACATTTCTATTGCAGAAAGTTATATAGACAACACTCTTCTAGAAGCATTATTGCCTACATTTCCCATTTAGATCTGCAGTGCACTTGGAATTAATATTTGTGTGTCGTGTAAGGGATTAAGATTTAATTTTTTCCATATGGATATCAGACTCAGCAGTTAATGAAAATTTGTTCAGATTAAAATCACAGTGAATACCATTACACATCCACAAGGAAGGCAAAATTTTAAGAGTCTTATAATACGAAGTGTTGAGGATGTGGAGCAACCGTAATTTTTTTTTTTTTTTAAGACAGTCTTGTTCTGTCACCAGGCTGGAGTTCAGTGATGCGATCTTAGCTCACTGCAACTTTTGCCTCCTGGGCTCAAGCAATTCTCCTGCCTCAGCCTCCCAAGTAGCTGGGATTACAGATGTGCACCACCACGCCTGGCCAATTTTTGTATTTTTAGTATAAATGGGGTTTTGCCCCATTGGTCAAGCTGATTTCGAACTCCTGGCCTCATATGATCTGCCTGCCTCAGCCTCTCAAAGCGCTGGGATTACAGGTGTGAGCCACTGCACCCAGCAGCAACAATAATTTTTGTGTGCTACTGGTAATAGGTGAACTGGTACAACCTTTTTGGGAAAAGTTTGGCTTTACCTAGTAACTGACACTGCATGTTGCCTGTAACTCATGTTCCACAGATGCACCAGTAATATCTATAATACGTTTTTCATAAATGACAACCTAAATGTCCGTTAGTAGTAAAGAATATATAGCCGGGCATGGTGGCTCACACCTATAATCCTAGCACTTTGAGAGGCTGAGATGGGCAGATTGCCTCAGCTCAGGAGTTTGAGATCAGCCTGCCCAACATAGCGAAATCCAGTCTCTACTAAAAATACAGGAAATTAGCTGGATGTGGTGATGCATGCCTGTAATCCTAGCTACTCGGGAGACACGAGAGTTGCTTGAACCCAGGAGGCGGAGGTTGCAGTGAGCCAAGATCACGCCATTGCACTCCAGCCTGGGCAACAGAGCAAAACTGTCCCAAAATTATATATATAATATGTATATAATCAATACATATGTATAGTTATTCACACACAGGCAATACAGCAGATGAACACACTAGAGCTATACCCAACTTGGATGAATTTCACAGCCTTGTGAGAAGTATATATAGGGGGATAAAAGGCAAAACTATATTAAAAATACATGGGTAGGTGGTAAAAGGGGTTGTAAATATGGAAAGGGAGCAAATTAGAATGAACTTTGTAGTACTGGGTTGGAATTGGAGATACTAGTGTGAGTTCATGATTTTCAAGATAGAGAAATAACTGTTAAATGCAAATTATATATACACACACTTCTGTCCAGTGAGGGAACTGGGGATCAGTGACTACTTAGTAGCCATGAGAATGCCTAATACCTAGATTGAGATTTCTAAATATGCTCTTGACTGAAAGGAACCAGGGCTTCCTGGAGATAAAGCTGATTTCAGAGCTGTGGCAGAGAAAGTACAAGCTGGTCCTGAAACATCTCACTCTGGAAAAAGTGTTCCAAGAATGATAGGGACATGTCAAAAGCACACAGACACCAGCTTGAAGAGACTCTCTCACTGGCTAAATATGGAACAAATAGAGCATCAAAATAAGTAATGGAGGCAACTGCTGTGGTTCACACCTGTAGTCCCAGCACTTTGGGAGGATTGCTTGAGCACAGGAGACCTGTCTGGGCAACATGGTGAAACCCAGCCTCTACACACAATACGAAGTTAACCAGACATGGTGGTGCATGCCTGTGGTCCCAGATACTCAGGACGCTGAGGCAGGAGAATCACTTGAGCCCAAGAGGTCGAGCCTTCAGTAAGCTGTGACTGCACCACTGCACTCCAGCCTGAGCGACACAACAAGATTCTGTCTCAAATGAATAAGTGAATAGATTATCATCCATTGGATAAAACAGGCATCCATTTTAAAAAATAAATGAAAGCTTGATGAGGACAGGATATTTTCACAGTGTCAGAATAACTTCATCCCTCAAAATATTAATGACAGAAAAGGAACTTTACAGTGGAAAGGCTGGTTGACACCACCTTAACCAAGTGGTTGAAGTTAACATCACCAGTGAGGAGACAAATCAAAATCATGCTTCATCCGGTAGGAGGCAGGGAAAACAACACAGCACCCTTCCAGTGATATTCCTGCCAAAAATACATAGCCTGGATTTAAGCAGGAGGAATCAATCTTCAAACAAATCAAATGGAGGGACATTCTACAGAATAACTGGCCTATTCACTTCAAAGGCTTCAAGGTTGTGAAAGTCAAGGAAAGACTGGAAAACTGTTCCAGACTGAAGAAAACAAAGGAGATATGAAACTAAATGAAAATGATTTTGAACTAGATCCTTTTTCTTAAAGACCACTGAATGGGCTGGGCACGTTGGCTCACACCTGTAATCCCAGCACTTTGCGAGGCTGAGGCGGGTAGATCACAAGGTCAGGAGTTCAAGACCATCCTGGAGTTCAAGACCATCCTGGCTAACATGGTGAAACCCCATCTCTACTAAAAATACAATAATAATAATAATAATCAGGCATGGTGGCACGTGCCTGTAGTCCCAGCTACTTCAGAGGCTGAGGCAGGAGAATCCCTTGAACCCAGGAAGCAGAGGTTGCAGTGAGCCGAGATTGCGCCATTGCCATCCAGCCTGGGTGACAGAGCAAGACTCCATCTCAAAAAAAAAGAAAAAAATCAGTGGGGGTCTGAAGATCTGAAGATGAGTCGAAGAGTTGGCAGTAATG